AAGCAAATATTTGCTGCTCCATACACAAATATCGTCTTTATTCATGTATTAACTGTTTACACGTTAATTAATACAATATTTACATCATTCATATTAATTATCTAAATTTATCATCACTGTATGTTTTCTTAAAATATTAAAGATCATTTACAGAACAGAAATTCTCAATTCGATGATACTTTAATAACAATGAATTTGTTATTTCAAATTATTTCTTAACAACACTTCATCATATAAAAATAGCCAATATCTATTAAAGTCAATAACTTACTTACATAATCTAGCCATAATTACATAATTTGATAATAATTATCGAAAACAATTCAGTAATAAATAAGATTATAATGATATAAATCTGTACGTGTGGAATCCAATCATAATAAAAAATACTTCATTCTATCATGAATGAAGAAATCATTAATAATTAATTAGCTAATAAAAAACACTGGAACAACTAAATATACAAACATGTTGGGTTGGAATCGATTATTTGGTAGTTAATTAATTTAAGGGTGGATCTCGATATCGGCCGGACCGCAAAACTTGGCAAACATTCGAGTTGGAAACGGAAACTACCCTTCGATACCGATAACGCACAGGGTAGATTTTTAATCAGATAAAATATTTCCCTTCATTTAATTATATAGAATTAAAATAAACCGATAATTAATGAAGATCCTCAAAGTCCAGTTCGAAGGAATCGCATAAAAAGAAGTGGCTTTTAGAAGCTTGCATATATATTGGAGAATCTTAATGTGCGTAGGTAGGCTTAACTTAAATAATTTGTTCTTGCAATTTATTCTAATATGTTTTTTATGTTTGTTTTCGTTTGCGTTGTAAATATCTGTGGATAATGCAATAACGGTCGACAAATTGCTGTATTTATGTGTGTGTAACACAGTGTTGCAATAAATTTGGCCAGTGTATCCATAAATATTTCCATTTCTTTATATCATTTTTATATGTTTTTCGTGGCAGCGAGATAAATGCTGTTTCTTGTGTTTACAATTTTTCTTGATCAATTTTTGTGGTCTCGTGGATGTGGCTGTGTGTGCACGCTGCTTCTTGATACATATATAGAGAGAACGTATTGCTTTTATATTTCAGCCCCTCTGACGTTTATGGATACTTCTCCAAACCAAACGGGAATAGAGTTCACCGATGTTACGCTCCGATGCGAAGTCAAGGGAGGAGACAAACCTATAGTCACTTGGAGCTACGAAAATGGTGGAAAAATTTCAGGTAAATATATATAAAAAAAAATAATCAATTTTAATTAACTATAATTAATTAAATAATATCATAATTAAAATAGTTATATTCATACACTACCAAATGAAAGCATTGAGAACTGCATCACAGATTTAATGTCATTATTAATTTTTGTAATTTTATTTTAACATATATTTTATTATTCAATCATTCATTACATTTTACAAATTTAATGAATTGTCTATACTTTACAAAGTAGAAATTTACTAATTCTGTTCTATAGTAGTCTATTGTACACTGACTGCAATCAATTTAGTAGCATTTTATTGCTTCTGAGTGAATTTATAGGTTTAATTAAGAGTATTATCACATGTTGGCACTTTATGTCCAGGTTTTTTTTTTTTCGGTTAATCATAAATAACGTAAGATTATTCTTTCTTACGTTTACTATGATGATATTTATGCCTTTATAAAATAAATCAAATAATTATTTATTAACCAATGAGAAATTATAATAATTTTGGGTATAAAATAAAGGTTTCTAATTTTATAATTGTAGCAATTATAATTATTTATTTAAATGGAGGCTGAAAGACTTAGGTCGATAGCCCTTTGGTTACAATTGTGACTAATAAAGATTATTATTATTTAAATGAATATATATTAATGCTTCAATTGTACTTTAATAGAATAATCTATAAATTGGATGTAGGAATTAGATAGATTAAATAAATGGTTATGTGGCAATTTCATGTTAATATTTACATAACAAGTCACATAATAATTTTAATATGGTAATGCAGCAATTGAATGTTACCATTTAAATTTTCATCCCTTGAGAGTTTCGCGCAGTTTTAGAGGTAGATGCAAAGCAATTATCTGGTTAATAACACCGTTAAACATTTCAATTCCCGAAATACTACCAAATTTAATCTATAATCAGATAATTTTAATATTATGTCATCATGTCCGAATGGATAATAAACTTTATTTACATCATAAGGTAGGTTTATTTATAGTGTAATAATTCTGTAAATTTGTGATATAATACTTTTAAATAGTTGTTACGAGAAATTCTGATTAATTTTTGATGACTTGTGGTTATTATGGATTTTCAAATGATTTCATAAAATCGATGAAATAGTTATTAAAGCTAATACGAGGATGATAATGAATATCCACAAATATTTTAGGTGAATCCTTTATTTCTAATGAGTTCTATGGTTGCTATATACTATACCTCATAGTTGCTATAATTGTGTGATTAGTATCATTGTTACAACTAAAATTTCGTACTGATTGAAGATCTTATTTAAAATTTAATATAACTTCACCTATTAGAAATTTTGTAGATTGATTTGCAGATCTCACATAATTTAGATTTTCGTGGTCATTATAAAACCATAATAACCATGACGTAACCATCACCATTGCTTTATGCTTACTATGGTATGAAGAAGTCTATGATGCTATGGACTTCTTAAAGCACTAGTTTCTACGATGACTAAGGACTTCTCGTACGTCTCAATAGTGTTTAATAGTGTATAGAATTTAAGTGTTTCTAATTTAATTAAATTCTTTCGAAGCATTCCTTATAACATCACGCGAGGTTTTACATTCAAAGTACTTCAAATGAAACCCAGTATAGATGAGTCTTTTGATGGAAATACATGTTCCTTCGTTACGTAAATTCAGTGTGTATATATAGAATTAAATGAATTTAGCTTAAGCTTAAAGGACTTGTCGCAATTAGTAATTTTAATTAAAACTTCGGAAGCGCCGTTCCATAATTCTTTATTACAACTAACAAAGGACGTTTTGTTTAAACTTTCGAAGATACATTTTTATTCATTCTGGAGCAGTTCTGGAGTTTCGTCCTACGGTTTTTAAGAATCCGCTAAACGAATTTGAGGAGCAGTTAGTGCTCGGGTGAAGAGGGAAATTGAATAAATTAGAAACGAACTAATTTAAAAGTTCCACTCGCATAGATAGTTTCACGTTGCTGTGAGGACTTTTTCTGAGTTTTCACTTCGGGCTCTCCTTCATAATATTTTTATGGAACGCCACGACGTCTTCTGCTTTTCTCTCTGTGTGTTTCTATACATATATTTCCTGTTCTTGTATCAAATATATAACTTTTTTTTGTCATGTCGTGATTCCTGTCGTTTCTGAAATTTATTTCTGGTTTGTTTCATTTCCGAAAGAGGGTAGTAACGTGAAATTTATCCTGCGGGTGACATACTTGTCTTTTATTATTCGACTAAAGTGCCCCATCGGTGTTGTTCTAATGCACAGGCATCGATTTTTAATAATCCCGCCGGAACGTGACTGAAAGATGTAATCCGTTACGTAAGAACCCGCTTCAAGGATCCCAAAAACTTTGCGCGTCGAACTAATTACGAAGTCACGCCCAGGAATTGCATAATATAATAAAAAGGCAATTGACGTGTAGCTGAGCAAGTCGTTCGGGGAATCGGGATCACGAATATTTTGTCAGCAATTTGATGAAAGAAAAATTGATCTTCGTAAAACCGTGTTCGTTAATAATTTTAATCAATATTTTATCAATAGTACAGTTTTTAAATATAATTGCTTGAAATTTAAACTACGTCCGTACAAAATAGAGTTTGCAATAAATTGTCAATTACCGTATTTTTCGTTGCATAAACAGCACTTTTAATTCGAGATATCAGTATTATGGATTCGTTCTATGCATTTATTTTATAAATTCCTGTTAGGATTACCAATTGTTATTACTATTCTAAATGCTAAAGTTCGGATCAGATATTTTTTAATAATTTATTATAGCATTAGGATTTCATAATTACAGACTACATTTTATATAATATTACCAACATGAAATATTGTACCAACATGAAAGTTAGTAAATAAAAAACTTCGTATGTTGTGTGTATGTACCATAAAGTATATGATGATTAAAGTAAGTCATTAAACTTTAATCTCCACTTTAAGTTTGCCAACTCTTGTACAACTTACACTACATTACGTTTCCCTTTATACAAAATAATAGGTGCATTAAGTTAGATTAAATCAATAATACCTTTTAGATGAAATAATGTAGAAATTCTCAAAGTTTTTTTTTAATCAGTAGACGAATATAGTGTTGTTCTTTAATATTTTTTTATATTTAAATATCAAAATATTCAATATTATAGGTATTCTTTTAGTAATTACAATTTCTTAATATTTTTTAGAAATTTAATTGAATTTTTTATAACTTTTTCAAATAATTCGAAAAAACCATTACTTCTTTCACTTTCATTTTTTATTGACGAGCTCCAATTATTTAAAATAAACTCTGTATCAAGAGTTATTAAATATTTAACATTTTCTCTTATTGTTTGCTGAAAAGTTTGGGTCGTTAGCCATTTGAGCAATAAATATTAGAAAATAAATACATAATTAAATATTTTTTTTATTTTCCTTGTAATTATAATTTCTTAATTCGAAAAAACAGAATTGCAATTACTATTTCCTTTTTAAATTACTTATTTGTATTTCTTGAAAAAATTATTTGCAGTTTTTCCATGTATATTTAATTTTTACTCAGTAGTTAGTGATTTAAATTTTAAAAAAATAAAGAAAATATAATTTTATGCATAACTTTTTCTATAAAATTGTTATTATTATATAAATTTCCTTGAATATATTGTTGTAACTAAGCTAATTAAGTTTTATTTAAATAATGTATAAAAATACATTATAATTTGTTATAATGTAAGCTTAATGATTTTTCAATTAATCATTCGAACCATCAATTACGAAAATTCGATAACCGAACAATTAAAATGGAAATTGTGCCAATGACAATCACGTTTTTTTGAAAGTATGCGTGTATGTGTATGAATTGTATTGAAGTATATTGTTGAAAGAAATGATGAATTGTTACGATGAAATGAATTATGACGCGTTCGTGGTGTATTTGCGAATGCAGTATGGTCAATGAAATTCGGCAAATTGATTGATGCTTTTATTGGTGGCGATATTTCATTGGTAATTAGTATGCGGAATTAATGAACACGTGTAATAATAATAAAAGCCGTGACGCTCGGACATTTATAAACATCGGGGGGTTGCAGCGTGCTGTTGATGCTGCTGTGAGAGGGAGGGTTGGTGATATTCGGAGCCATCCTCTTTTCCCCATCCTAATTCCCATCCAAAACTGTTCGGAGCTGTTCCATATATTAATCTTTATAGACGTTTTAATAACGCATGCGGAATGTGTTACGTTCTAATTACACTTGACAACCATTGTAATGGATTATGTGGCTCGGCTCTTTCGGTAATGCTTTTGATTAATAGCACTTATATGTATAATTAGTTTCCTACGAATGCATAAATTATTATCGCTAACCAAAGGAACAAACTCTAAATACAGCGCACGGAATTTATCCTTCAAATTAACTACACACGGCGACGTTCCGTGGAACGGTATATCAATTGATTAGCCTTTTGTGTACAATTTACATTTTCCACAAACGAAATGTCCAAATCCACTGACTTATTTTATACACCATTAAACTTAACTGACAAGTTAAATAATTAATACTCTTTACATTTACGTATAATTTTATTCAATATCTCATATTTATCTGTTTTTTTTTTATTTAAAACTTTTTTAAGTTCATTATTTCTGTAACTAGATTATATATCATGTAATATTAATGGAAAATTACCCATTATAAATTGGAAAATTACCCAATTAGTAGCAGCTTTTCTTTAAAGTACTAAGTATAATAAGGATTTAGGTATTACGTTAATGTCTAATTAAACCGAAATCGTAAGTAAAGTACCTAAAATCGTTTAAACCTTTGAGTTATTAAGATAAAATTAAGTAGATTATATAACGAATCTTATATACGAATCTTATATAATATAGAATTTAATATATGATGATCAAGGTGATCAAGATTACAAATTACATTAAATGCTTTAAATATATTTCCTAATTTTTTTATTTAAAATTTTAAGAGTATAAAAAAAGTTATATTTTGTTCTATAACAGTTCT